ACTCCAAGCACCTCCGGACCAAGCTACTCCGAGCAACTACCAACTGAGCCACACCAAGCACCTATACCAACTGAGGCACTCCGAGCACCTATACCGCCAGAGGCACTCCAAGCACCTACTGACCGGGCCACTCCAAGCACCTACCCACCGAATCACTCCAAGCACCTACCGACCCAGCCACTCCAAGCACCTACCGCTTGAGCCAATCCAAACACCTACCGATCGAGCCACTCCAAACACCTATATCGACCGAGCCACTCCAAGCACCTATACCGACCGAGGCACTCTAAACACCTACGGAATGAGCCACTCCAAGCACCTACCGGCTGAGAATCTCCAAGCATCGACCGAACCAGCTACTATAAGCAACTATACCGACCGAGCCACTCCAAGCACTGATACCGATCGAGCCACTTCAAGCACCGACCAACAGAGCTACTCAAAGCACCTACCGACCGAGCCACTCCAAGCACCTATCGAAAGATCTACTCCAAATACCTATAGATAGATAGATAGATAGATTGATAGATAGATAGATAGATAGATAAATAGATAAATAGATAGATAAATAGATAGATAGATAGATAGATAGATAGATAGATAGATAGATAGATAGATAGATAGATAGAGAGAGAGAGAGAGAGAGAGAGAGAGAGAGAGAGAGAGAGAGAGAGAGAGTGATGCAGAGAGAGAAAGAGTAAGAGAGAGAGATAGCAAATAAATCTTATTTTATTTTATTTTCATAAAATGGAGATGGAGTGTACTTCGTGGTTATTGTGCCTTCATCATTTTGCACGTTGTTCCTGACTTGAATGGTGTTCTTCTTTCTTTGTTCTTTGTATTCTTCTTTTTTTACTCCTCATTCTCTCTCTATATGTCTCTCTCTCTCTCTCTCTCTCTCTCTCTCTCTCTCTCTCTCTCTCTCTCTCCCCCCCCCTCTCCCTGTGTCTCTATGAGTGTTCCGTTTCTTCAATTCGTTAATAGTGCTGAAATTTAGTAGTTGGTCTAGGCCTAACTTTCTCTCTCCCTTTCTGTGTCTCTCTAAACGCCCGCGGTGCAAGCGATGGCCGCAAAAAAAAAAAAAAAAAAAAAAAAAAAAAAAAAAAGGTTAGGCCCAAACCAACTGCTAAATTTCAGCGCTATTAACGAATTAAAGAAACAGAACACACATAGAGAGTTTTATTTCAAAGTTTGTAAGTAATTCGGATGTAATGCTCAGGTAAATCTTGTTTAATTTATTTTTCTCCATAACATATATATTTTTCAGATTTGTTTGATGACTTTTTTTTTTTTTTTTTTTTTTTTTTTTTTTTTTTTTTTTTTTTTTTTGGGGTCTGCGTTCGGCCCGAATGACCGAACGCATCCCCAAAGGTTCCCATACGTTCGGGCGTTCGGCCCGTCCCGAACGCCGATTACCCTGACAATAAAAATAATGATAATAATAATAATAATAATGATAAAACAAAATAAGGAAAGAAGAGAAATCATATCGTCATCGCGGCCAGGGGTCACTAAATCGTCCCAGACTAAAGCAAGAGTCCGGATCGGCGCGTGGACCTGACACTCAAACCCCTTTTCCTCTTCTTTATTTTTATTTTTTTTCCTCTTTTCCGTTTGACTGCAACAGCGAGCCTACGCACCTAACCCATAACCTGGTTAGAGTGCATTTGGCGTGCAGTAGAAAAGACTGCGCCGGTCCCTCTACCTTCGCGTGCCTGGGCGAACCCGACGGCTACCACGGCCACAGGCCGGTAGTGCTCTGCTGTACAGCAGGGCGCTGAGCCTGCGTGGACCAAAGAAAAGTCCAGTGGCGCACCCTTTTGTCAGGGCAGACGCCAACTGGACCGGTCCTTATCGAAGTTCAGCTAAGGTACCAGGCCTGTAGAGGTTCGGAACACGCCTAATAAGCAGCGAAGGTCGGGACAGGGAACTGGTTCTGGGTAGGAATCCGACACACAAAGGAGGGTCGGGACACCGCGCCCTCCGACACCGTGCAGATAGTGATGTGAGTGCGAAGCGGCATAAACTACTGCGAGAACCTCACGTTCATGAGCAGTGTAGTTTATCTCGGCGGGCAGGAGCTGGTGAAAGCAGAAGGCTATCAGAGAATCACCTGAGCGAGACTCGACAGTGCCGTCCTCGACGATGGTAGGAGAAGAGTCAATAGAAGGCTGGTTAATAGCTGGACGAGTAGGCGTCAGGCGGGAAGCAGTGGTTGGGGTAGGGGGTGGGAAGCGAGGGATGCGAGGATGAGAGGAATCAGGAGAGGACGGAAAAATCTGATAAGGAACTGCTCCTACAACAAAGTCTGATGCATCGGTGGTAAGGGTAAAAGGGCAATCAAAATTAGGTAGGTGGAGAACCGGTGCACATGTCACCGCCTTCTTGAGGGCGTGGAAGGCGTTCTCGTGGAAGGGTGTCCAAGACCATGGCAGTTTCTTCCGAAGAAGGGTAGAGGTAAGGACGTAGGAATACCTAGCGTATCCCTGGATGAAGTTACTATAGTAACTAGTGAGGCCTAGAAAGTTGCAAAGCTGCTTGGCGAATGTGGGGACGGGCCACTCCGCAATAGCAGTGATCTTCGCGTTGTCCATGTGGAGACCCTAGTAAGACACGTACTGTCCTAAGAAATTTACTTTGCGCTGGGCAAAGCGGCACTGGCTCGGCTTGGCGTAGAAGCCATGACTGCGCAAGCAGTCAAGGACGTCGTGGAGGTGTTTGAGATGCTCCTTAAGGGTACGACTGTAGATCAGGATATCGTTGAGGTAGACGAGAACGTACTGCTCCAGGATGTCCCTGAAGATGTCGTTCATCGCCCTCTGGAAGGTAGCAGGTGCGTTGGTGAGGCCGAATGGCATCACCGTAAACTCATAGTGGCCGAAGCACGATCAGAACGCTGTCTTCGGTTGGTCCGCTGCAACAACGCGGATCTCATGGTAACCGCTAAGAAGATCAATCTTCGTAAAGAAACGGTTGTCTGCAAGGCGGTCGAACAGCTCGTCGGAACGAGCCATGGGGTAACTGTTCTTAACCGTGTAGCGGCTGAGACCGTGATAGTCGATGTAGGGACGAAGAGTTCCATCCGCTTTGCTAGCAAAGAGGATGGGTGTACCCCATCGATAAGGGCGCCTTCGGCACCGACGAATATGCAATCACAGGATCGGCCTCCCTCGATAACGCTAAATTGACTATCTAGACTGTTTGGGATTTTTCCCAAAGTATTTGGTACATTCTCACGCGTTACGCACCCATTCGCCACTTTGTTTTCAACTGAGAAAACAACGTTCGGCTTGCATGTGTTAAGCATATCGCTAGCGTTCATTATAAGTTAGGATCAAACTCTGTTTTTTTATTATGGCTTAATTTCTGGAATGTAGGAAAAAATATCGAGACAATTGGGTTTTGTATGACTCTTACATGTCCAAGGCCACGAAGTGGCAGGGGCGCCAGTTCAATCTCATTCGCTGCGTGCTGGTCAGGTTGTGTACACAGTCGGCAGACGGGAAGGAGCCTAAATCGATGGACTCGAAAGAGCACATCGCATACTTGAGCAGTACGAATGTCGGGTGAGACTAACTAAGCAGTCGTTGGCTGCTTCGACATCTACCGACTTCGTGCCTTTTGGAAATCAATTAAATTATGCCTGAGAGAAAGGTCTGGCCAGAGCGAGCAGACTACACCGAGCTATGTATCGCTGTAGTCCTCCAGAGACCTATTTATTTAAATAAATTGTGCCCCCATTCCTATTCTATTTCAATTAACGCACACCATACATAATAAGAAAGATGGTGTTCGCCAGCAGAGCAGAGTGGGCCTAAGTAGATTTGAATGGGAAGTTGTTGGGTTTAATGAAACCCAGTCTTAGGAGCTCCTCAAGCTGACGCTTGAGTTCGGTGGCCTCGGGGATTGAGAGTCTGTAGGATGCCTGATGGTGAACACGATAGTCAGGCACAAGTTGGATGGAATGCTCGACGTCGCGCATCGGTGGGATGCCGACGTACGAGAACGACGATGGGAAAATGTCACGGTACTCTTGAATGAGATCACGAACTGCGGGCTCCAGGTCGGCCATACAGCGTGCGAGTTCCTCAGCTTCAACGTCAACGCGCGACGGTAGGGTGGACTCGACGGTTGACGGAGGGAGGGAAGTAGAGATGAGAGTCATGGAGATAGAAGGAGGATCTGACTCCAGAGAGATGAGCTCGGTGTCGGGACAGGGTGAATCATAGTGTAAGAGATCCGTAACATTCACCGCAAAGAATGTGACGTCGTCCTATTGGATGACGTGAGCGAATTGTCGAGGCGAGGTGACGGTGATAGTAGGAGATGGTGTGGCCACGGAAGGCTCCGGGGGAGGAGGGTTGGGGCGTGGTGTCGCGGTGATACCTATGAAAGGTACGTGATACGTCTGTCCATACTTCGTTTTGAGAATGAAAGTGTTGGTCGCCCAATCGGCCTCGCTGCCGCGGAACCGCCGAGACCACGGCGTACCAAAAACGAAATCGTACCCCGTCTCCATCACATTGAAATGTGCAGAGGAGCGGTGGCGACGAGACGCCGGGGGACGATCAGGCGGCTCGAGAGTGAGGAAGAAAGGGAGGTCGGTAACCGTCTAATCGAAGAAGCGTTGGGTCTTATCATCCCCTAGGGTGACGGAGATGGGAGTCGGAGACCCTGTCGTAGGTAAGCGGGCTTCTTTCAACACACATGGGTGAATGAAGTCGCCCTGAGAACCGGAATCCCACAGTGCTGAGTACACCCTCGTGGAGGTCCCCAGTCGTACTGGAATGATCGGGAGGGTGTGATCAGGGCTAGAGAGGATGGTGAGAGGGCGACGCAGTGCAGAGACATGTAGGGTGAGTCGCTCCTGACGAGCCTGGATCATGCTAAAGTCCAAAAGAGATGACACAACGTTCTCGTGAGTCGCAAGCTGCTCACTGCAACGGGCTGAGTGAATGGCTCGACGCGTCGGTAGTCGTGGAGAGGTAGGAGGGGAGACGGTGGTCTGCAGAGGCGCAGACGGTACTGCGACAGAGGGCTGAGTACACTCTGTCGGGTCCTACGATACCTTTACTCTAGTAGCGAGGGGGGCAAACCGCGACGGAGATGTCGGGAAGCCGACTACTGAGGAGGGCGGAGGTGTACACTGCACCATGGCTAGGAGGCGTCGAGGGGGGACTGAGCATGACGTTGACGAAAGAGCTCAGCGTAGTGGCGGTCGAGGGCGGCGGTGTAAGGGCACCGGGGGGAGGTATGACCGTCCTGGTGGCAGTGCAAACACCCTCGCCGGCCCAAAATGGCCGCACGCTGCTCAGCGGAAAGGACACCGCGAGGAGGGACGAAGCCCTGAGGGAGGTCCTGCTGAGGGACCTCGGGGGGCGATGTGCCAACGTAATCAGAGTGGCTGCATGGCCGGGAGAGGGTGGAGGGGGCGAGCTGGAGGCGCTCGGCTATAGGGAGGGTAAAGTCCTCCAGGTGGTAGTGGATGGCCTCGCAGAGGTCGAGGTCGTCGTTATGGTCACCCTCAGGCGACAGCGGGGCAACAGCGTTCTGCTCACCATACTCGAGCGCGCTGAAGCGGCGCGAGAAGTGATGGCCCTGCTGCACGGAACGGCGGGGACGACCGTGGAAAGGAGAACGGCGTTGGGAAGTGTCGTGAGAGGAGGAGGGAGTGTAACCAGTATGCTGAGGCAGGGAGGAGGAAGTGGATTGAAGACGGGCCCGCATCCGCTGATGGTCCTTGGCGGCCTCGTAAGCCTGTGGCACCGATGTGAAGTTATACCGCCATAACTCGGAGCGGTACTCAAGGGGGAGGCTGGCCAAGAAACGATCGATGAGGGCAGCCTCGGCGAGGAATGCCATATCACAAATAAGGCGGGCGTCCTGAAAGACCTGGATGTGGCAGTCCAGGCCGTCAGCGCCACCAGAGTCGGACCAACGTGTATTGACGACACGCTCGAAGGCGCCAGTCACGGCATGTCGGGCTCCGAAACGATCCTCGAGGAACGCTTGGAAATCCATGAAGGTCAGGGTCCGACCCTCACGAAGGGAGTGAGTGTAGAAATTCTCCCAGGCGTCGAAAGGACCGCCGTGCAGGCGAGTGGAGAGGTGAGACACCCACGTATCGGGTGGGACGCCCATGAGCTAGAGCGTGCGGGCGGTAGATTGCAACCACCGAGACACGTGTATCCTTGTACCGTCATACAAGGCAATGTCCGTCAAGCGGACGAGTGGTGCACGACCGTTTTGGCGGCGAGGAGATCGAGGAGCAAAGGTCTGCGCTACGACCGAGTAAGTCGGCGCAGGTCCTGGAGAAGGGGGTGCAACTGACTGTACGCCCGTGCCGCATGGTGGAGCGGCGGGGCAACAACGACAGGCTGCGAGGGAGCTGCGGTAGAAAAAGTCGCAGCAACCGAGGGAGTAGGACGGAGGTGGGATGGGGGTGGAGGGGGTGCAGGGCGGGGGAAGCGAGCCTGCATGGATGGAAGAGCAGAGGAAGAAGGGGATGCGCCCGAAGGCGCGACCACCTATGAGGGTAGTGGTGGCTGAACACGTAAGAGAGCAAGATCGGCCCAGGTCTGGGCAAACTCATCCTCGAGACGTCGAACGTAGATCGAGCAGGGAGTAGGAGGAGGAAGAGTGAGGGAAGTAGAGGCACGAGCGGCGAGAGACATCCCATGAGGGGGAGAGCCATGTAGCATTGTGGTCGTGCGAAGGGGAAGGAGAAGTGGCGAGAGGCACCCAGAAAGTTGAGACCTCAGCGGAGGGTTGTGGTCCCACGGCCGTAGTGACCAGAATCTGGGCGGGTGCGCCCATGGGGTGAGGGAAGGCGTGGCCCGTGGCGATTGTCGCGCTAGGAGTGTGGACGGTCACCAGGATGGCCGGTCGAGGGCAGCGGAGGAGGAAGCTCCGCTGTGGCCACCATGTCGGAGGACGGGGGACTTGGACTGGGAGCCAGGGGAAGAGAGGGAGCGAGGAGAGGAAGGACGCCCAACATCCGAGAGTTGCTGCAGGCCAGCGACAAGTGTCGCCACCTGCGTCTGTAAGGGCGCAAGGAGGGAGGTGAGGAGGGTGTGCAGATCCCCCTGGGGCTGATGACCCTGGTTTACCGGCACGGGTATGGAGCCTGGTGCCGAGGTCGTCACCACGTCGGCGGCTTGTGACACGCCGTCGGCCATAGGGAGGCGACGGGCCGGACTGGAGGGGGCTAGAGGAGGTCCTCGTGAGCGGAGGGCGTAGGGGGGGGTCCGTGGTCGAAAGCGACGGGCGGCGCTAGTGAGTTGAGCGCGGGTGCTCGCAAAGGGGGAAGGGTGACTGAGGTCCAGGGTGCCCGAATGGAAAGGGGGAGTAGGGGGGGTTACGAGAAACCTAAACCCTAGAAAACCCTAGGAAAACCCTAACCGGAGTTTGAGTGGTTAGGGTAAGGTACCGATGACCTAATCAAGAAAATAAAATAGCAAGCATGGGGGGAAGGCGGAAGGAAAAATAAGTAAACAGTGAAATTTTAAAATTAAAATAAAWAAWAAWAAAWAAAWTAAAAAAAAAAAAAAAAAAAAAAAACAGAATATGAAGAGAAATAATATTTATTTTTTTGGAATTTTCGACAGCATTTCCCTACCCCCCATGGGGTCAAGAATGTGCCAAAGGAAAGGAGAGACCAAGATAAGCACACTAAGTTTTAAAATGCTGCAAATTAAAATTTTCAGAAAGTAAATAAATAAATATTAAATAAATAAATAAATAAATAGATGAGGAGGTGAATAGAAATTAAGTGTTGGATTTTTCAAAAAATTCGGCAACATTTCGTTACCCCCATGGGGTCGAAGTGTGTCGTCAAGAAGAAAGGCTAAGTAAAATGAGAAAATTTTGACAGCACTTCGTTACCCCCACGTGGTCAAAATATGTGTTGAAAGCAAGAATGACTAACGCCTAATCAGATTTAAGGGTGCCGCAAATAAATTCGAGTTTTTATAATAAATAAAAAGAAAATAAAATAAATCAGAAAAGGAGAAAAGAAGGTGGGGAATAAGATAATTCGATTTTTTGGAAAAAAGAGGAAATATAAATAAAAAGAAAGATAAAAAGAAGAAAAACAGAAAATTTTGAAGTTGGGGGGGGAGGGGGATGAAAAAGTGAAGGAGAAAGGAGAGAAATAGGTGAGAGAAAGAAAAAGAGTGGAGGGGGAGATAGGGGAAGTGATGGTGTTGTAGTTGGGGGAGAGGAGGGTGAGAGAATGGGAGAGAAAGTGATGGGAAAGGTGGAGAGGGATCAAGAAGCAAAGAAAAAAAAAGAGAAAGAAAATAAAATAAATGAATAAAATAGAGTAAAATAGTGGGTGGTGGGAGAAAAGGTGGGGTGGGGAGAGGGGTAAGAGTAGTGAGAATGATTAGAAGGAAGTGAGTGAGGTAGAAGAGGAAGAAGTAGTGGAGGTGAAGAAGAGGAGAGAAAAAAGGTAGAGAGTGGATTAGTAGGGAGAGGGAGGAGAGAGGTGATACCTGGCCCTTGGTGTCTCCAAGGGCACAAGGTATACCAAGACCAGGAGGGCCTTGGCCTTCATGGCAGCAAGCCAACAGGAGGAGGGAGGGGAGCTGAGATCTTGATCAGCCCCTTACAGCAACACTGCAGATCCAGGGTGTGTTGTGTGACCAGACCCTCACCACTGTAGAGCAACCTCTGATCAGGGAGTCTTCACGGTCCACACAGGCACAGGCAGCAGCGGCCACAGTGTCTCCCCACCGTCGTGAAGGAGGGGGGGCAAATAGTTGTCTGCCCGCTGTTGTTGTGCTAGCCGGTGCTCGAGGGGGGGTGGGGTAAATAGGTGGCACGACACATCTTCAACACCAGCGTGCCACCTTACGAAGCCATGCACACACTTTGGCCAGCGTGTTAAAGAGGTGGCTACGCACTCGCATGGCCAGCAGCTGCCCAGGTTCAAACTCTGGCAGCTGTAGCATTTCGGTTTTTGATAATAAATAATCTGGGAGCGGGGCGGGCCGGGGCAGCGGGCCAGCATGGGCACGTGGCGCGTGCGTGTGCGGCGGCCTTGGCCTTGCGCGTACGCATCGTGCCTCTATCTCTCTTTTCGCACCACGTGTCGCTCCTTGGCTGCTTCATGCCGCGTCACCTTTTTCCCGCTGTTTTCAGCTGGGAAGGGCCGAAAAACAGCCAAAAACCCCACTATCGGGTTTTGCTGTTTTCCCTACTGTGCAGTGTGGTAGCAAGATGGCACAACGAAGCTCCCACGCGAGACTCCAACGCACATAGTCCAAAATTGTGCGAATGTAGAATGATCCGAAATACAAACTCTGGCTGGGGTATACCCCATCGGACTGACTGGACTGGACTTGATTGGCTGGTACCGACAGAGGTACCGGCCTAGACTGGACCCCGAATACAACACAGGCCTGTGAGAACAGGCCAAGGGGCTGGTCTCACAGGCCAACCAGAGGTCCGCTACACCCCTTGTGTGGGAAGTGGTTAGGGTTGCCGGCCGACCTGGGGCATAGGTACCCAGTGGGACCCTAATCCCATGGGAGTGAAAGTTTTGTTTGTGATGTGGGTCGGTCTACGGTAGCAACTTGGCAGCTGGAGGTATCCCCAAGCCTAGTACGGATCACGGGCAATGAGCGGTGTGCGCTCGTAAAACAACCCGTCTATGCCTAATGACCAGTACTGACCGGCGTGCAACCGAAAACTCGACGGGATGCAGTGAGGAGTTGTAGAGGGCAGTAGGGTTCACCAACTGTATAATGCACGGTCCGAGTAGGGGTGAGATGTAAGGTCCACCAGTTGAGGATGCCAGGGAGATGCCCCAAGGACCGAACTGACCAGCTAGCCATTCGCTGGTGGTAGTTATACCCGAAAACCGCTGCTATCAGTGAGGAACCAGTCCAAGTATTGAGAGTGATCCATCATATTGGTGGGCACGACGTCCTGTTTGCGTCATTAATGAATTCCTGAGGTTTGTGTAGACTAACCTTAAACTGTCGGTTGCCCACCGGATGTTAGGGGAACTATAGTGACAGAAGTGGGAAGAAAATTAGTTGTCAAACCCGGATTTAGGTTAGGATTAGTATAGGTGTTGAGCTGTGTATCTTTTGAACGGAAAACGGGTAGAATTCAACGCCCGAACTTCCGTTTGATGGGCCCCTGGACCCCCGTTGAATCGCGTTTAACACAAAAACGGGGGCGTTGCGTCCAATTCCGAAAAACGGAATTCGTGCATTGGGCCTCGGACACGTGTACCTACGTGCCCGAACACTCAAACAGGAAATATATATATATATATATACCCCCCCCCGAACACCCCTTAATAGCCCCCTATACCCCCAAAC